TCTGCACTAATTTGATCAAGAACACAATATTGTGACTTGTTGTGAGGCCGGGTGTAAACCTTGACTGGTGTCTCTCTTGTGCTGTACTGTATTATTCTTGTTGTTCATTCTTACATTATTGACTCAGTGTTGATGCAAACAAAAAGAAACAAGAAAAAGTTTCCCTTCAATTTTGTAGAGTCATTAAGCACAAATACACTAGTCACTTCCTTGTGTTGGTAACGGCACCAGAACCAACCTAACTAATATATGCAGTATATTGACAACTGTACACTACACGGCTTAGCTCAGCGGACATAACAGTGGAAGAAATGTGACTTACCGCCCGACTACCCTGAGCTGGTGGGCGGCCTCCTGGAGGGAGCATCACCCTCACACGGCCTGATTGGTGACTCATGTGGCTCTCTCTTTATCCTTACATCATCCAGGATCTAAAATATCGAGTTGTTGCTGGGTCTCTTATATTCACAAGCTAGTCAAGAGCTCGATACTGAAGGTGAACGAAAAGGAATCGCCAATCAGGTCACGTTGGTGGGTTGTCCCATGTGGTGCAGAGGCACAGAATGCTGAATCCTTAACACAACCTGAAGATGGCAGACACCATTCGTCTATGGTTGACATCACTGGTTCAGGTTGGTGGTCAATCCAGCATTCGGTGTCATATATATGAAATAAATCCCCCTTATGTCACAGATGTCTGAGGATTAGCGAGTATATATTATGTGTTAATACCTGAAATCGGAGATGTTACACACGGCAGCCATTGGGTTGGACACACGGTAGTACACCACAGCGTCCACGGACACCGTTACTGAGTCCTTGGATAACACCTAGAAAATACAAACAACACCACCGTCTCAGTTTCAAGCCTTTTACTCAGTCACAAACTCTTAACCCGAAGGTGCTCCTGCCCTTCAGGAGCCTCGGGTCCTTCCTTAAGCGCCATTAGTGTTTCCTGGTCTGTGGTGGTTCCTGCCCTCTCCTGGACCCGTCCATCTATCACCGGAGACGACCCATTACCGTGCCCCTAATGCACGGGGCTTGGCGCTTCTCGCTCCAGTAGGAAACAAGTCATGAAAAATAAGTTATAATCATAGTACAAGAAGACGATGTACGGCCTCCTAGTACCCAGGAGGGGGCGCTATTTACAGTACCCACGGGGCGCTGTTTACAGTACCCACGGGGCGCTGTTTACAGTACCCACGGGGCGCTGCTTGCAGTACCCAGGGGGCGCTGTTTACAGTACTCAGGGGGCGGTTTACAGTACCCTCGGGGCGCTGTTTAAGTACCCAGGGGGCGCTGTTTACAGTACCCTCGGGGCGCTCTTCTCCACGACGGATGGAAAGTCAGATTATCCGATGGCTGTAAACGTAATGTTGCGATAACAAATTAACTAAACAACCATTTCCAAGTTAGAAAATGTCCTTGTGGTGATGTACTGTAGTTAACAGTGTGACCTGAACCACTGTAATGTATCTTTGACAATTTCTGGCATGAATACTTAAAGCTTATTATTTAAACTTACACTTGGGGGCCGGGCCAGCAGTACTGAGGTCGGGAAGCCAGGAAGAGCAGCCAACTCATATTTTAACAGCCGACAGAACCTTTACTTTTTGTTGAGAGTGGAACTAGACTTATTTATCTCCACGTTCTACAGGAAACGTACCTGTTATAACTCAATAATAAAGTTGATGCTCACACAAACGTTGTAAACAATTCTCAGAGAACAACATCAGACGTAAATCACTTTGCAGTGTAACCAACATGAACGTTTGTAAACAGCCTAAAAATGGCTTACAATAGTGTGCCTTCCATTTGTTCCCCTCAACATGTCACCCATAAAAGGGAAACATTTACTTTTATATATGAACATGGCGAGCTACAGTGTTTTTATTATAACTTATACTACGCTGTTTTGTTGAGTGAGAATCCTCAGCTGAGCGACAACTTTATTATGACAACTAGAGGGAGCCTAAGGCGACACTATTAACATCCCGCTCGGGTTAGATATCATCTCCCGGCTCCGTCTACACCCTACTCTTACTCCCCCGAAAGAGAACTTTTGGCACTAGTTCTCTCAGTATCTGACAGCCACCTCGTAAAATGGAGCAACATCATCACCATGTGGCGTTCTAAAGAATTTACCCAAAGGGTCTATTCTCCTATACGATCCGTGCTGGGGGACGACCCTCTTGCTCAAGGTTTACAGTAACTGATGAGCCTGCGTATTTGCCCTCCAGTCTCAACTAACTGAGGAAACGTTAGTGGTGGAGGAGGTACTCGGCTGAGGGAGTTTGGCTCCGTGGCTTATCAAATATAAAGTTTTTTTTCCGACATTAAATCTGATTATGGATCCTTGACGCATTTCCTCAGAAAACTTGTGTCTTAGTATAGTCTGGCAGCCGTGTGCGACCGGCAGGAGAGGTACTGAGAGGGTGGTGGTGTTTTTCCAGTTAGTTGACAACTCTTGATGGCAAGGGCGCCATCACTTAAGGGCAGGACAGGCTGTCAGGCTCACTCAAAAGGATCATCTTTGTATGAGGGAAAAAGGTCAAGACTAAGGGGGACGCCATCATGTTCTGGTCCGAGTTAATGATGATCGCTGCTGGAGTCAAACAAGTCCTGGCGGGAGATAACCCAGCATCAGCCGTCCTTCTGAGTGAGCTTAACGACGTGGCGTGCCCTAAGTGGTGCCTCCTTGCCTCACTGTACACAGGAGAAACGTCTGGATTAGAGAAGGGAGGAGAGTCCCTGTTTGAATTCCTCTTGTGGTCGCCGTTGTAGAGGACCGACACATTGCCGATGGAAACAAAAGGAGGCAAACAAAGGCTTCATATAAACAGGAATAATAACTAAATAAAGGGAAAACGAGACAAAATTTCATAACAGAACGAATAAAACCCAGCCTTTTGTGGATTTGCAAACCAAATACTGCAACATAGCCAACCAAAATGATCATGACACACACACACACACACACGCTCACACACACACACACACACACACTCACACATTAGCAGTCAACTAAGTCTGTGAGTCAAAGGGTAGTGTGGTGGGAGTCAGCTGTTAGTATGTGGTGAGGAGGATAAAGCCACTCATGGAAGCTGCTCAGTGCTCACCTTCTCGTGGGAACATGGGTCGAGCGCTACACACCGCACGCCCCATCAATCGTGTGCCGATCAAAGGGGCCCTTAATATAAGCATGTTAATGGGGACTTAAATTAAACATGTTAAAATCAACATAACAGGATCTTATAATTACTAGGTCATAATTAACAATAAGCGATAAGTGCTCGGTGTTTAGTGTTTTGTTTCAAGCTTTCTGGAGACATTTTATGCCAACGCCGTGAGCCGCCCGAGCACCTGCTGCAGCTTGTAAACGAACTCTCTTCACAGGAGGGACTTTAACTAGTGGTTATCAGGTCATCTGTTTATTATTGGCTTTTATTTTGTTTTTGAATTACATGATTACAGGCTATTAGTATTTTATAATGCGATGGAATTAAAAAATATTTACAGGTGGAGTGGAAGGACAGTAACCGCTAGCTGGGTGCGCGCGCGTGAGCTACAACACACACTATTGTCCTACCATGCAAATTTTTGTGTTTGTTGCTGCTCGCACTTCCTCGGGATGAGAAATCTTCGGCCTTTGTGCAAGCTCTAACTTTATGTATATTCCCTGTGTGGTGGTGTAAGGGGGGGGGGGTCACTGAGTTGTCTGGCCGTAAAGATAACAGACTGTTGCTACTGTGCTGTGCTGTACATCTACTGTCACTGTTACTATCGGCTGGATTAAAACAAGTGACACGATGAGTCGTTGAATCTTTACTGTGAACTGACTAGTACAGCTGCAAGTTAGCTTCACATACTAACTTACATCATATACGCTAAAATTGACCAGGTTATTCTTCACTATTACACTAAATGTCTCACCATTACACTCTCAAATAATCTAAGTTTTCAAATTGTTTTTTCTCGCCTTACCTCCAGTGATGCTCAACAGCAACATGTTACCCAAACATCCCAAACCTTCTAGCAATAATAATAACCTTAATGCCACCAAACATTATCTGTCGTATGCCTAGTTTGTGTACACTATGCCCAGGTGAGCCTCGGTGACCTCTTGACTGATGTAGTGGCTGCTGGAAATACCTAAATAGTGTGTACTGAGCTGAGGTGAGAGCTGGAACTACCACCTCAACTGTGTGTGTGTGTGTGTGTGTTGTAAGCTGTTAGCTGAGACTAGCAGAGCTGAGGAGAAGAGTAGCGCGAGGCTAACTTGACTTACATTGCAACGACGATTGGGGGATGAAGGCCTCTGAAAACACGACAAGGATTGAGGAGCAAATGCACCATGCAGTCAAAAGAGAGCCATTACGTGAGGAACAGGCCTTTGGTACAGCATAACCTAAGCCACCAATGGAAATCAAGAACAGCCAAAGATCTAGATTCTAATTAGTGCATACTCCCCCGTGATGACTCTGCGTCTCGAGTTCGAGGCATCATGGCAATCTTGGGCTAAAATATTTCTCTCTCTCTCTACAGACATGAGGCGATAAATGAGTTGCCTTGACTGTCTGGCTAGAAAAAATATGAACTAGATTTTGTTAATCCTTGACACCACTTGGCAGTGATTAATCTGTATACTTAAACGGGAGTTGGAATAAGAAGCATGTGCATTGGTTAGACCCATATCAGTAGACCAAAGAGCAAAAACAAAAACAGGGATAAACAGAAAAACGGAAAAAAACTGTAAGGAAAATTAAACATGAACTAAAATAAACCGAGAAAAAATATTAAACCAAAAACAGGAATATGTAAATAAAACCAGATTCTTTAGCAGTCGTCTTTTAAAAACCCTAATATATATCAAAACCCATTTCAGTTAAGATTAATTGCCCTCTCATTAAAGATCACACCAGTGCAACAAATGGCAATCACGAGAGATGCAAAAGCGGCGTTGCCATGGGGAAAAGCGGCATTGCCAAGTTCCCGTGTACCTGTAATCCTCTACGTTAGTTTGTGCCATTATGGGGTCAGACACACGGTAGTATACAACGGCATCCACAGACACGGTCACTGAGTCGCGAGACAGTATCTGAAAAGCAAAGGGGTGAGGAGAGAGCTCTTGAGGCCAGAGAGAGAGAGAGAGAGAGAGAGAGAGAGAGAGAGAGAGAGAGAGAGAACATCTCGTAGGGGCGAGGTGTCACACACAACACTTCTTTAGTACCATTGGCCGGGGTGGAGGAAGGGAGGGAGGGAGAGGAGTATAGTGGACACAATAGTGGAGGAGTTGGATTTTATTTCCAGCGGGAAGCAGCAGTTAGGTAGCAGCACCACCACCAACCACAATAACAACAGAAGCAGCGTGAGGGGACGTAGGGGAGAGATGGTGAAGGGTTAAAATGCAAAGTAAATCAGTGGGGAGAAGCACAAACAACGAGGAAGGGCGGGTAGAGGTGGGGATGAGGGGGATGCTACAACAGGGATGGGTGGGTAGGAGGCCAGGTGGCGGCAGAGCACAACAGAAGCGAGCTTTAGTGGTATCATGGGACAGGGGAGAGTCGTAGCAGCGGTAGCATCATCATTACCAGCAGCGGCAGCAATAGAGGGGTACCACACTACTCACAGTGCCAAGGGAGCAAATGGTGACACATTGTTGTTACTGGAGTGTTCCGTCGGCAAGACAAGGTGAACTAAGAACTTCTGCAGCAGGCACACAGTAACACCAGGTCAACATTCACTCAACAAAAGTAACACAGATCCAGGAGCCACCAGCAGTATAGCCACCCCACAACAGTTTAGCCAAAAGGTCCCTTGAGTGCCTAATGTTTTTGTTAATGTACAAGCGGACACCAGAGAAGGACCATAAGGCTAGGGTGGGGTGACGGCTGGGAGGAGCTAGTATAGAACTAGAGCTGACCCACGCCTGGCTACCTGTAGTCCTCCACATTGTTCTCGGCCATGACGGGATCGTGGACACGGTAGTAAACCACAGCATCCACGGCTACTGTCACGTGGTCACGAGAGAGAATCTGCAACATTACCAGCAGCTTGGTCAGATCACGTCTCAGGTCTTCGCTCACGCCTCCCGCTGAGCTCATGGTCTCAAGTAACTTTTTTTCTCGGTTGAGTTCTCTCCCTCCTGCCGTCGTCTGAGGTAAGGTCTCTCCTTCCTGCCGTCGTCTGAGGTAAGGTCTCTCCTTCCTGCCGTCGTCTGAGGTAAGGTCTCTCCCTCCTGCCGTCGTCTGAGGTAAGGTCTCTCCCTCCTGCCGTCGTCTGAGGTAAGGTCTCTCCCTCCTGCCGTCGTCTGAGGTAAGGTCTCTCCTCCTGCCGTCGTCTGAGGTAAGGTCTCTCCTCTCCTGCCGTCGTCTGAGGTAAGGTCTTCCTCCTGCCGTCGTCTGAGGTAAGGTCTTCTCCCTCCTGCCGTCGTCTGAGGTAAGGTCTCTCCTTCCTGCCGTCGTCTGAGGTAAGGTCTCTCCTCCTGCCGTCGTCTGAGTAAGGTCTTCCTTCATGCCGTCGTCTGAGGTAAGGTCTTCCTTCCTGCCGTCGTCTGAGGTAAGGTCTTCCACCTGCCGTCGTCTGAGGTAAGGTTCCTCCTCCTGCCGTCGTTCGAGGTGGGTCTCTCCTCCTGCCGTCGTCTGAGGTAAGGTCTCCTTCCTGCCGCTCGTCTGAGGTAAGGTTCTCCCCTCCTGCCGTCGTTTGAGGTAAGGTCTTCCTCCTGCCGTCGTCTGAGGTAAGGTCTCTCCTCCTGCCGTCGTCTGAGGTAAGGTCTCCTCCTGCCGTCGTCTGAGTAAGGTTCTCCTCCTGCCGTCGTCTGAGGTAAGGTCTCCCTCCTGCCGTCGTCTGAGGTAAGGTTCTCTCCTGCCGTCGTCTGAGTGGTCTCTCCTTCCTGCCGTCGTCTGAGGTAAGGTCTCTCCCTCCCCTGCCGTCGTCTGAGGTAAGGTCTTCCTCCCTGCCGTCGTCTGAGGTAAGGTTCTCCTTCCTGCCGTCGTCTGAGTAAGTTCTCTCCTGCCGTCGTTCGAGGTAAGGTCTTCCTTCCTGCCGTCGTCTGAGGTAAGGTCTTCCCCCTGCCGTCGTTTGAGGTAAGGTCTCTCCCTCCTGCCGTCGTTTGAGGTAAGGTCTCTTCCCCATGTCACGGTCTTACCGTGGGAAGGAGTGATGTTATGGCGATGTGGTTCCCCAATCAGGTCACTTTTCAACTATGGTCTCCATCAGGTCACTTTCAACTATGGTCTCCCATCAGGTCATTTCTTTCAACTATGGTCTCCCCATCAGGTCACTTCTCTCAGGTATGGTCTCCCATCAGTTTCTTTCACAGGTATGGTCTCCCCATCAGGTTTGTTTCTTCAGGTATGGTCTCCAATCAGGTCACTTTCTCAACTATGGTCTCCTTGTCACAGGTCATTTCTTCTCAACTATGGTCTCCCCCATCAGGTCGTCACTTCTTCTTCTCAGGTATGGTCTCCCATCAGGTCACTTCTTCTCAGGTATGGTTCCCAATCGGTGTCACTTCTCAACTATGGTCTCCCATCAGGTCACTTCTTTCAACTGCTATGGTCTCCCCCAACAGGTCACTTCTTTCTCAACTATGGTCTCCCCATCAGGTCACTTCTTCTCAGGTATGGTCTCCCCATCAGGTCACTTTCCTCAGGTATGGTCTCCCCATCAGGTCACTTTCTGTGTATGGTCTCCAATCAGGCTACTTTTCAACTATGGTCTCCCATCAGGTCACTTCTTTCAACCATGGTCTCCCCCATCAGGTCACTTTCAGGCATGGTCTCCCCATCAGGTCACTTTCTCAGGCATGGTCTCCCCATCAGGTCACTTTCTCAGGCATGGTCTTCCCATCAGGTCATCATTTCTTTCAACCATGGTCTTCCATCAGGTCACTTCTTTCAACTATGGTCTCCCATCATTTACCATCTCAGGTGGTCTCCCATCAGGTCACTTTCTCAGGTATGGTCTCCCCCAGTCAGTCACTTTCTCAGGTATGGTCTCCCCATCAGGTCACTTTCAGGTGTATGGTATCCCCATCGTGTCACTTATCAGGCAGTATGGTCTCCCCATCAGGTCACTTCTTCTCAGGCATGGTCTCCCACTGTGTCACTTCTTTCTGTGTATGGTCTCCCCACTGTGTCAATTTCTCAGGTATGGTCTTCCCATCAGGTCAATTTCTGCATGGTCTCCCCATCAGGTCACTTCTTTCTGTATGGCTCCCCATCAGGCTGCTCTCTCAGGTATGGTCTCCCCATCAGGTCAATTTCCTGGGCATGGTCTCCCATCAGGCCGGACTCTCAGGTATGGTCTCCCACCAGGTCACTTCTTCTCAGGCATGGTCTCCCATCAGGTCAATTTCAGGTATGGTCTCCCCATCAGGCCGGGCCTCAGGCATGGCTCCCCATCAGGTCACTTTCTCAGGCATGGTCCCCATCAGGTCATTTCTTTCTCAGGTATGGTCTCCCATCAGGTCACTCTCTCAGGCATGGTCTCCCCATCAGGTCAATTCTTGCATGGTCTCCCATCAGTCACTTCTCTGTATCCCCATCAGGTCACTTTCAGGTATGGTCTCCCCATCAGGTCAATTTCAGGTATGTATCTCCCATCAGGCTGACTTCCCTCAGGCATGGCTACCCATCAGGTCACTTTCTCAACTATGGTCTCTATCAGGTCAATTCCTCTCAGGTATGTATTCTCCCACTGTGGTCAATTTCTGTGTATGGTCTCCCATCAGGTCAATTTCAGGTATCCATCAGGTCACTCTCATGGTCCTCATCAGGTCACTTTCAAATCATGGTCTCCCATCAGGCTCAATTTCAGGTATGGTCTCCCATCAGGTCCCATCAGGTCACTTCAGGCATGGTCTCCCCATCAGGTCAATTCTCAGGCATGGCCTCCCCATCAGGTCACTATCTCAGGTATGGTCTCCCATCAGGTCAATTTCTCAGGTATGGTCTCCCCATCAGGTCAATTTCAGGTATGGTCTCCCCATCAGGTCACCATCTCAGGCATGGTCTCCCCATCAGGTCAATTCTCAGGCATGGTCTCCCATCAGGTCAATTCTCCTGCATGGCTCCCATCAGGCTGCCTCTCAGGCATGGTCTCCACTGGTCACTTTCAGGTATGGTCTCCCCACTGTGCCAATGGTCTCAGGTATGGTCTCCCCATCAGGCTTCATTTCGAGGTTTCCCATCAGGTCAATTTCTCAGGTATGGTCTCCCATCAGGTCACTATCTCAGGTATGGTCTCCCATCAGGCCAATTTCTCAGGTATGGTCTCCCCATCAGGTCACTTTCTCAGGTATGGTCTCCCCATCAGGTCACTTCTTCTCAGGTATGGTCTCCCATCAGGTCACTTCTCAGGTATGGTCTCCCCATCAGGTCACTTTCAGGTATGTGGGTCTCCCCATCAGGTCACTTTCTCAGGTATGGTCTCCCATCAGGTCACTTTCCTGTGTGTTGGTCTCCCCATCAGGTCACTTCTGCATCAGGTATGGTCTCTGCATCAGGTCACTCTTTATCAGGTATGGTCTCCCCACGTCACTTTCTGCATGGTCTCCCCATCAGTCACTTCTCTCAGGTATGGTCTCCTCATCGTCACTCTTCTCAGGCATGGTCTCCCATCAGGTCACTTCTCTGTATGGTCTCCCCATCAGGTCACTTTCAGGTGGTCTCCCATCAGGTCACTTTCTCAGGTATGGTCTCCCATCAGGCCACTTTCAGGCATGGCCTCCATCAGGTCACTTTATCAGGCATGGTCTCCCATCAGGCTCATCAGGCATGGTCTCCCATCAGGTCACTTTATCAGGTATGGCTCCATCAGGTCACTTCTTTCAGGCATGGTCTCCCCATCGTCACTTTCAGGTATGGTCTCCCATCAGGTCAATTTCTCAGGCATGGTCTCCCATCAGGCTTCACTCTCTCAGGCATGGTCTCCCCATCAGGTCAATTTCAGGTATGGTCTCCCCCATCAGGCTTGGCCTCAGGTATGGTCTCCCATCAGGTCAATTTCAGGCGGTCTCCCACGGTCACTTTCATTGCATGGTCTCCCATCAGGTCACTTTCTCTCAGGTAAGGAAGTCTCCCCATTGTGTCGGGCTTTCAGGTATGGTCTCCCATCAGGTCAATTTCTGTATGGTCTCCCATCAGGTCACTTCAGTATGGTCTCCCCATCAGGTCACTTTATCAGGCATGGTCTCCCATCAGGTCAATTTCTCAGGCATGGTCTCCCCATCAGGTCAATTTCTCAGGTATGGTCTCCCCATCAGGTCACTTCTCAGGCATGGTCTCCCATCAGTCACTTTCTCAGGTATGGCCTCCCCATCAGGTCACTTCTTTCAGGTATGGCTCCCCATCAGGTCACTCTTTCTCAGGCAGATGGTCTCCCTCCATCAGGTCACTTCTCTCTCAGGCATGGTCTCCCATCAGGTCACTTTCAGGCATGGTCTCCCATCAGGTCACTTCTTTCTGTGTATGGCTCCCCCATCAGGTCACTTTCTCAGTGGTCTCCCATCAGGTCACTTTCTCAGGTATGGTCTCCCATCAGGTCAATTTCTCTCAGGTATGGTCTCCCCATCAGTCACTTTCTCAGTATGGTCTCCCCATCAGGTCACTTTCAGGTATGGTCTTCCCCACCAGGTCACTTGCGATCAGGTATGGTCTCCCCACTCATGTCACTTCTCTCAGGTATGGTCTCCCCATCAGGTCACTTTCAGGTATGGTCTCCCATCAGGTCACTTTCTCAGGTATGGTCTCCCATCAGGTCAATTCTCAGGTATGGTCTCCCATCAGGTCACTTTTATCAGGCATGGTCTCCCCATCAGGTCACTTCTCAGGCATGCATATCTCCCCATCAGGTCAATTTCCTCAGGTATGGTCTCCCCACTGTCACTTCTTTCTCAGGCATGGTCTCCCCATCAGGTCACTTCTTCTCAGGTATGGTCTCCCCATCAGGTCACTTTATCAGGCATGGTCTCCATCAGGTCACTTTCAGGCATGGTCTCCCATCAGGTCACTTTCTCAGGCGGTCTCCCATCGTCACTTTCAGGTATGGTCTCCCCATCAGGTCACTTTCTCAGGTATGGTCTCCCATCAGGTCACTTCTTTATCAGTATGGTCTCCCCATCAAGGTCACTTCTTGGTGTATGGTCTCCCCATCAGGCTCACTCTCTCAGGTATGGTATCCCCATCAGGTCACTTTTATCAGGTATGGTCTCCATCAGGTCACTTCTCTGTATATGGTCTCCCATCAGGTCACTTCTTTCAGGTATGGTCTCCCCATCAGGTCACTTTCAGGTATGGTCTCCCCATCAGGTCACTTTCTCAGGTATGGTATCCCCATCAGGTCACTTCTTTCAGGCATGGTATCCCCATCAGGTCACTTTCAGGCATGGTATCCCCATCAGGTCACTTTCAGGTATGGTCTCCCATCAGGTCACTTTCTCAGGTGGTATGGTCTCCCCACCAGGTCACTTTCAGGTATGGTCTCCCCACCAGGTCAATTTCTCAGGTATGGTATCCCCATCAGGTCACTTCTTCTCAGGTATGGTATCCCCATCAGGTCACTTTCTCAGGTATGGTCTCCCCATCAGGTCACTTTCTCAGGCACATTCCATCAGGTCACTTTCTCAGGCATGGTATCCCTCCCCACTGTGGTCACTTTCAGGTATGGTCTCCCCATCAGGTCACTTTCTCAGTATGGTCTCCCCATCAGGTCACTTTCAGGCATGGTGCATCCCATCAGGTCACTTCTTTCAGGTATGGTCTCCCCATTAGGTCACTTTCTCAGGTATGGTCTCCCATCAGGTCACTTTCAGGTATGGTCTCCCCATCAGGTCACTTCTCTGTGTATGGTCTCCCCATCAGGTCACTTTCAGGTATGGTCTCCCCATCAGGTCACTTTTCTCAGGTATGGTCTCCCCATCAGGTCACTTTCTCAGGTATGGTCTCCCCATCAGGTCACTTTCTCAGGTATGGTCTCCCCACTGTACTTTCTCAGGTGTATGGTCTCCCATCAGGTCACTTTCTTGGTGTATGGCCTCCCATCAGGTCAATTGTGCATGGTCTCCCATCAGGTCACTTTCAGGTATGTAGTCTCCCATCAGGTCACTTTCTCAGTATGGTCTCCCCATCAGGTCACTTTCTCAGGTGGCATCCCACTGTGTCAATTTCAGGCATGGTATCCCCACTGTGGTCACTTTCTCAGGTATGGTATCCCATCAGGTCACTTTCAGGTACACAACCTCCCCATCAGGTCACTTCTTTCCTCAGGTATGGTCTCCCATCAGGTCACTTTCAGGTATGAATTTCCCCATCAGGTCACTTCTTCAGGTATGGTCTCCATCAGGTCACTTTCTCAGGTATGGTCTCCCCATCAGGTCAATTTCTCAGGTATGGTCTCCCCACTGTGTCACTTCTTTCTCAGGTATGGTCTCCCATCAGGTCACTTCTTTCTCAGGTATGGTCTCCCCCATCAGGTCACTTTCTCAGGTGGTGGCCTCTACTAGGCTACTTTTTTCTAGGTAAGTGGTCTCCTATCAGGTCACTTCATCAGGTATGGTCTCCCCATCAGGTCACTTTCTCAGGTATGGTCTCCCCCATCAGGTCACTTTCTCAGGTATGGTCTCCCATCAGGTCACTTTCTCAGGTATGGTCTCCCACTTCAGGTCACTTTCAGGCATGGTCTCCCATCAGGTCACTTCAGGTATGGTCTCCCATCAGGTCACTTTCAGGCATGGTATCCCATCAGGTCAATTTCAGGTATGGCATCCCATCGTGGTCACTTTCTGCATGGTCTCCCCATCAGGTCACTTTCTCAGGTGGTCTCCCATCAGGTCACTTTCAGGCATGGCTCCCCATCAGGTCACTTTCAGGAATGGTCTCCCCATCAGGTCACTTCTTTCAGGTATGGTCTCCCATCAGGTCACTTCTTCTCAGGTATGGTCTCCCCACTGTGTCACTTTCTCAGGTATGGTATCCTCATCAGGTCACTTCTTCAGGTATGGTCTCCCCATCAGGTCAATTTCCCTTGCGGGTATGGTCTCCCATCAGGTCACTTTCTGTGTATGGTCTCCCCAATTAAAGGTCACTTTCTCAGGTAGTATGGTCTCCCATCAGGTCACTCTCAGGCATGGTATCCCATCAGGTCACTTCAGGTATGGTCTCCACTGTGGTCACTTTCTGGGGGCATGGTCTCCCACTCAGGCTCTTCTGCATGCATCCCCACTCAGGTCACTTCTTCAGGTATGGTCTCCCCATCAGGTCACTTTCAGGTATGGTCTCCCATCAGGTCACTTCTCAGGTATGGTCTCCCATCAGGTCACTTTCTCAGGTATGGTATCCCCATCAGGTCACTCTTTTTATCAGGCATGGTCTCCATCAGGTCAATTTCAGGTATGGTCTCCCATCAGGTCACTTCTTCAGGCATGGTCTCCCATCAGGTCACTCTCTTTCAGGTATGGTCTCCCATCAGGTCACTTTCTCAGGTGTTTGGTATCCCATCAGGTCACCTTTCTCAGGTATGGTCTCCCCATCAGGTCACTTCTTCTCAGGTATGGTCTCCCCATCAGGTCACTTTCTCTGGTATGGTCTCCCCATCAGGTCACTTTCACTATGGTCTCCATCAGGTCATTTCAGGTATGGTCTCCCATCAGGTCACTTTATCAAGTATGGTCTCCCCATCAGGTCAATTTCTCAGGTATGGTCTCCCCATCAGGTCACTTTCTCAGGTATGGTCTCCCCATCAGGTCACTTTTTCAGGTATGGTCTCCCCATCAGGTCACTTTCTCAGGTATGGTATCCCCATCAGGTCAATTTCTCAGGTATGGTCTCTTTTTCCCAGGTATTTGCTGAATATTTTACTTTAACAAATATAGACCTCATGGGCAGGTCATACAAAGATCAATGTTAGACGTCCCCGTTCTATATAACCGTTCTATATAACCGTTCTATATAACCGTTCTATATAACCGTTCTATATAACCGTTCTATATAACCGTTCTATATAACCGTTCTATATAACCGTTCTATATAACCGTTCTATATAACCGTTCTATATCACCGTTGTGGGGGGGGGGAATATAACACAGAAGGATCCACAATAGTTGAGTTAATATGAACTCTCGTGTCAGCTGCTACAACATTTATAACCAGGACACCCTAAGGGTCTTTTACGAGTTAAGATGGGTAAGGTAGTGTTGATGTATTCTTCATATTAATTACATTTGTTATTCTTTATCAGTGTTTGTGTGTTTGGTAGTATGGTCATGGTACTGCGGCTATCGTCATGAATATATGGTAACACGTTCATGGTAGTATAATACTGTCATAATAACACATTCATGAGAACAGTTATCTTTGTTATCACTTAACCTATGACCCAGGAGTCTTATCAACGACACCATCATTATAATTACTGTATAATTACTGATACATTAATTACTCCAAGACACGAACATCATAATTACTTAGTGGATTCGTAAAACATTTTCTTATTTCGTCACAGGAGTATTAAGAGTGGACTATGAGGCTTGATGTACTTAGGCAAATAACCGTCTAGTCTAACTAACCTGACTGATGCTGTCTACTACGAATGAGGAATGCTTTAAACTGCCTGGGTTAATGGCCGCCTTTAATGATCTTAGTGTGGAGGTGTCAGGGGGAAGGTACTGGTAGTGTGGGAGTGTCAGGGGGAGGTACTGGTAGTGTGGGAGTGTCAGGGGGAAGGTACTGGTAGTGTGGGAGTGTCAGGGGGAGGTACTGGTAGTGTGGGAGTGTCAGGGGGAAGGTACTGGTAGTGTGGGAGTGTCAGGGGGAGGTACTGGTAGTGTGGGAGTGTCAGGGGGAAGGTACTGGTAGTGTGGGAGTGTCAGGGGGAGGTACTGGTAGTGTGGGAGTGTCAGGGGGAAGGTACTGGTAGTGTGGGAGTGTCAGGGGGAAGGTACTGGTAGTGTGGAGGTGTCAGAGGTACTGGAGGAAGGTACTGGTAGTGTCAGGAAGGTACTGGGAGGTCAGGTTAGACATTGGTAGTGGGAGTGTCAGGGGAAGGTACTGGTAGTGTGGGAGTCAGGGGAGTCAGGCATGTACTGGGAGGGGAGGCGGAGTGTAGGGGAGGTACTGGTGGTGTGTAAGGTCTGAGTGCTCTGGGAGGTACTGTAGTGTGGGAGTGTCAGGGGGAGGGTGTGGGAGGTCAGGGGGAGGTACTGATAGTGTGGGAGGTCAGGGGAGGTACTGATAGTGTCAGGGAGGTAGGGAGGTACTGGGTAGGTGAGTGTGGGGGTGTCAGGGGGAGCAGGGGAAGGTACTGTAGTGGGAGGTCAGGGGGAAGGTACTGGTAGTGTGGGAGGTCAGGGGGAAGGTACTGGTAGTTGGTAGTGTGGGAGGTGGGGAGGTCAGGGGGAAGGTACTGGTAGGTGGGAGGTCAGGGAGGTACTGGATAGTGTGGGAGGTCCAGGGGAGGTAGTTGGGGGGAGGACTGGTAGTGGGAGTGTCAGAGGTACTGGTAGTGTGGGAGGCAGGAAGGTACTGGTAGAGGTGGGAGGTCAGGGGAAGGTACTGGTAGTGTGGAGGTCAGGGGAGTACTGGTAGTGGTGGGAGTGGGGGAAGGTACCAGTAGTGTGGTGTGGGTCAGGTGCACAGTGTCAGGGGAGGTACTGATAGTGTGGGGAGGTCAGGGGAGGTACTGGTAGTGTGGGAGTGCCAGGGGGAAGGTACTGGTAGTGGGAGCGTCAGGGGGGAGCGTGGGGGCAGGGGAAGGTACTGGTAGTGTGGGGAGTCAGGGGAAGGCACTGGGTGGGAGCGTCAGGGAAGGTACTGGTAGTGTGGAGGTGTCAGGGAGGTACTGGAAGTTTGGGAGTGTCAGGGGAGGTAGTAGGTGGGAGTGTCAGGGGGGAGGTACTGGTAGTGTGGGAGCGTCAGGGGAAGGTACTAGTGTGAGTGTGGGAAGGTACTGTGTGGGAGGCACTGGTAGTGTGGGAGTGTGGGGAAGGTACTGGTGTGGAGTGTCAGGGAAGGGGAAGTGTACTGGCAGTGTGGGAGGCAGGGAGGTACTGGTAGTGTGGGAGTGTCAGGGAGGTACTGGATAGTGTGGGAGTGTCAGGGGAGGTACTGGGGAGGCCGGGGAAGGTACTTGGTGGGGAGGTAGGGGGAGTGTGGACTGGTAGTGTGGGGAGGCTAGGGGAGGTACTGGTAGTGTCGAGGTGTCAGGGGAAGGTACTGGTAGTGTGGGGTGTGTCAGGGGAAGGTACTGGTAGTGTGGAGGTGTCAGAGGGAAGGTACTGGGTGTGGGAGTGTCAGGGAAGGTACTGGTAGTCGAGTGTCAGGGGAGTGCACTGTAGTGGGAAGGTACTGTAGTGTGGGAGGTCAGGAGGAAGGTACTGGTGTGGAGTGTAGGTGGTGTGAGGAGTGTCAGGGGGAAGGTACTGGTAGTGTGGGAGTGGGGAGGTCAGGGGAGGTACTGGTGAGTGTGGGGTGTCAGGGAAGGTACTAGTGTGGGAGGCTGGGGAGAGTACTGGGTGTGGGGAGGTGGGGAGGGAGGTACTGATAGTGTGGGAGTGTCAGGGGAGGTACTGGAGTAGTGTGGGAGGTCAGGGGAGGTACTGGTGGTGTGGGAGTGTCAGGGGGAGGTACTGGGGGAGGTGGGGAGGTGTAGTGGGAGGTGTGGGAGTGTCAGGGGAGGTACTGGTAGTGTGGGAGTGTCAAGGTACTGGTAGTGTGGTAGTGTCAGGGGAGGTACTGGTAGTGTGGGAGTGTCAGGGGGAAGGTACTGTAGTGTGGGAGGTCAGGGGGAGGTACTGTAGTGTGGGAGTGTCAGGGGGAGGTACTGGTAGCGTGGGGAGGTCTGGTAGTGTGGGAGTGTCAGGGTACTGAGTGTGGGAGCTCAGGAAGGTACTGTAGTGGGAGCGTCAGGGGGAAGGTAGGGGAGGTAGGGAGTGTCAGGGAAGGTACTGTGTGGGAGTCA